TATCATCAAAATATTTTATTTGCATTTTAATTTAGTAATCTTTTTTGTTTATAGTAAATACCTAATAGCTAAAACACAATATATATTAACCCAAAATACATTCTTTTTCATCGGGAAAAATTGCGAGTTAACTAAATTTACACAGTTTTTATGTTTTATAATTTTGTTACTAAGTAAAATTTTTATTTAAGATAAAACTGTTTTTTTTATCTATGCAAACTAGCATTTATCTGTTACTGAATTTCAATAAATAATGTTCATGAAAAAAAAAAGTAATTTGCTAATTGGTTGGAAATATTTTTAGATATCCGTAGCTACAAAATATTCTATTCTTTTCATTTTTTAAATAAAAAAACGGGGTAAATAAAAAATTTTAATTTTAATTTTTTTACGAAGCATTTTACCGTTAATTTGAAAGTAAGCTTTTAAAAGTCCTGTAACATTTTTAACAATAATACATTGCATGCATAGATAAATTTCTTTTCTTTTTTTTTCAAACTAAACTTACAGTTGGTTAATTTGAAAACACTAACAGAATAAGCTTTCTTAAATGTATCATGTTCTATGTGAATGTAACACTTGCTAGCAAAAATGAACAGCCATAAATCTAAACACTTTCAATGTACAAATAGCTGTAAGATCATTCATCACTTAGCTAAGCAATTAGTTGATTCGCCATAATAAATGTTTTTTGTTAATAGCTTTTGAATTTTTTTCTTTCGTCAACAACCCAATTGAATTGGTATGCACTTTTAATTGTGATGCCTTTTAAAAACATACTTTGATCACGATTAATCACAAAAAGGTTCACATTAATTAAACATATTGAGTATTTTGCTAGAAACATATTCTAGAATTAAATACTCATTGTGATCTTTTGCATGACATTATCCAGAATTTTTTTTATTTTAAAAGACTTAAGGGATTACTGAACTCACAGTAAATCTCAGTTGTAGTAATATAAATGATTTTAATTTAGTATAACCCCTTTAAACTTACGCAAGAAAAAATTCTGCAAAAATACAATTGTTTAAATACAAAAAAGGGTTTTCTCCAATCGATTTTAAAAATGTTCGATATGGAGAAGCTTCATTGATATTTCACGTAACACAAAAGGGAATATAATATTTTAATGCATTTACCCTTTTATTAAAACTTCAGAATTTTTAAATCAGCCTGGAGGTATTTTAAAAAAATTATCGTTGTATATTTAATAATTAAATGGAAAGTTTTTACTCAATTAAGACGTCAAAATCGAATCAGTTTTCCAAAAGAAAGAAAAAAATTCTAAAACATCTAATCATGACTCTAATATTATCTTTTTGCCAAAATTTCAATTAGGGGGATATCTTTTTCAGAATATTTCCAACTAAATACACCACTATTTTCCTTGATGTCATATTTACTATTTTTTTTAATCTGATTCCATCCCTTAGTAAATATATCGAGCTAATTAACTGGTGATAAGTAAATCGAACGCCGAGTCTCAATTATGATTACAAAAAGGACTCGTGCAAAGTAACACAGATTTAGATGTTAAACGAGGCCAACGTGGTTTTGAAGTTAGAATAATAAAATACCATTGTCTCAGTCATTTTTTTATTATAGTTAACAATTAAAATTTTCATGATACATATACTTCATAAAATTAAAGAAAAATGTTAATTGGAAACCGGCAGTACTTATATATATATATATATATATATATATATATATATATATATATATATATATATATATATATATATATATATATATATATATATATATATATATATATATATATGCCTAAAATTTTTTAATGTATGTGCTAAATTAAAAACTCCGTATCAACTCGATGTTTGTTCATTTTGAATACATAATTTCCACAAACACATTTTCGAGTGCAAAACACAGCAAAATTGTCTGTGAATATTGGAACACTTTCTTTTATATCTGGAATTTCTTTTAGTACAGATTTTGTTCTTTAACATTAAGGAAGAACATCCTTTAAAGTATTTCCATGGACAACTAATTACTGTTTTGGTCATCCATATAAAGTATAAAAATAGTTTTGGAGATTATGTGTAGAGAAATTTTTAGTTTTTATGTCTCTATTATAGTTCATCATCAAAATTTTGTCAGGTAATTTATCGCGCGCGAATTAATGAAAACTAAGAAAATAAGGTACACCAGGCCTAATAGTTTTTAACAGTAGACTAATGTATTTTGCTATTTGATTTCATTGCAAATGAAATTACCAGATTCTGTTTTTTAAAATTTACTTTACTTATTATTATGCATTTATCATTATTTTTTAAATACTTCATCAACAGATAGCGAGCTCAAAGCTTGTTTCCATCAAGATCATACCGGGTAATGTAAGAGTTGCTATGTGTTTATCTGAATCTAGATTTTTAACCTAACTCGAAGTAGGTATTAGAATAGTAGAGTTAAGGTTCCGGTATCCACTTTCTTACGCGATAGTGGCTCAAAATTTCTAAACTTGTTACCAACTGAAATTTTACGTAGTATGATACAAAAGTTCAGGGTTGCGTAGAAAACCTTACACTGAATAGTTCACAGCCCTGAAGCACATCCACCTTCCAAGTAGTCCCCTTCGGGGATGATATACTTCTGCCAGTGTTTGTATAACTTCTGGAAGCACAGCTGGAAGTAACTTTTCGCAACCTCCCGTTGAGTGTCCTGCCATGCTCCTTTCACTTCCTCTGATAATACTACAAAACAGCGTCCTTGTAAATATAAGGCGGGAACAGGTAAAAGTCACATAGGGATACGTCTGGTCACAAAGGGGTGTATATGGAAGCACTTTAGTGCGAATTTTGGCGAGGAACTCTTCTACCAATTGGGATCGATGTGATGGTGAGTTATCATGAAGAAGATAACAGTCGTCACTCTGCCAGAACTGAGGCCGTTTATGAAGAATGGATACCATCAAATGATGTTTTCGAGAATGTGTATCTTCAGAGATTTCTGTAAGTGTTTGACGACGATTTTTTCAAACACATTCAGACACCAACGCAACATTTTCCACGTTCCGTGGAGTCGGTCGTCCAACACGTATATCGTCTGCGATAGATTATCAACCCTCTTTAAAACCCCGATGCCATTCATAAAACTTGGATTTCGCTATAGTACATTCATCATACACCTTACTTAGCATTTCCAAAGTCTCCATTGGTGTTTTACCTAAGCTTTGACAGAATGTAATGTGTTCAACGCTGTTCAAGAAAAGCCATCTTTCTTACATCGCTGAACAAAGCTAATTAGTTACGGAAGATAACAGGTGCTCACGTGGTTGGTTACATGACATGAACTAAACCAACCTGGCCAGGTAGGGGAAGGTTTGGAAAACCCATTTCAAGGGATTTATATTTAGGTACTTACTTGCGTCGTCAGCAACGGCCGCAGTCTCCGAATTTTTGGATCATACTACGTATAATTATGAAATATTAGTTCAAGATAAAACCATTCCAAAACCAACGATGTGTCTTTTTTCTTGGCGTATCAGCATTAAATGAAAATTCATTTTGTTACTGCAATTTGTATCTATCTTAAATAAAAATCTAGTCATCAGAAATTACATGGGTCTATTTTAAATTATAATTAACTAACAATGACACACATCACACAAAAAATTATGTAGGACAGTAATTTTAAAAGTCCTTGAAGTCTGCTATTCTTCTCACGTATCACTTTGAAACTGCTTTGACAGAATACAAAGAAAACAGTATTTTAATTATTTATTTTACTTTATTTATTATTTATCCGTACCCCCATTCTTTTATTTTTTTAAAAAAAGTGCTAAGCTTTGAAAAAAAATTATGTGACTTTAAAGAGTAGGAAATTAAATTTAAGGAAAAAAACCAGAAATCTTGTCCCCCAAAGATGTCTTGTCCACTTAAAAGTGACAAAAGCGAAATGAACCTAGAAAGAAAGAGCATTAATTTCTCCATTACATGGAGAGTAATTAAAAATAACAGGTCGGAGAAGAAAAGATTAGTTACATTGACAGGCGAAACAACATCCAAGACTGTTAACGGTTAGTTAATTTCGGTGTCGCATTACTGCTAATGGTGGCAATGAGTACATTGCAACATCCACGCTAACGGCGATTTTGTAATGGCATCATTTTTCAATCAATTCCATTTGTGAATATTTTTAAAGAAATAAGAATTACCCAACTGTCTTGTAAGAGCGTTAAGTATACCCCTTGATATTTCTGGTGCTTAGCAGATTTTTAGTCATTTGTTACTTTTATACAACATACAATTGGAAACTCTCTACGTTTCCGATATTGGATAAATTTCACGACTCCTGCAATTATACTTGAAGGTTATGATTTTACATTATTACAGGAGGTTTTGATTGTAACAAATCAAAGGTGCATTCAGATAGGGTCTCGTATTGAAAATTATACAGATTATTGTGGTTGGAAATATTTTTTTAAAAAAATTATGTAGAGAGAGAGTCTTCTATTTCTTTTTAAAATAACAGAATAAATTTCATTTTTCAGATTTGTTTTTAAATATAATTTCGTATTTTCCATTGTTTTTTCATTCCTTTTCTACTTGATGTTTTTGTATTATAATTTGTTGAAATATGATTTTATTCAATTCCTATTATTAGTTCACACTATTCCTATCAATTGCGTAAAGTACATCCCCGCAACCACTGCATTGCTGTGGAGCCCAGGGACTCTAGGGGGCCCAAAATTTGACTCACGTTAAGTAGTATTTGAGCTTGGGGCCCAAAACCTGTGTTTGCAGAAAGGCCCGAATATATATATATATATATATATATATATATATATATATATATATATATATATATATATACATATATGTCTATATGTCTTGTTCGAATACTATTTTTAAAACTTATAGTGGATAACACTTGATGTTAATACAGTTTTCTCAAATATTAACTTATTAATTCTAATAGTAACTAACGAAAATAATAGTCCAACACCATATATAAAAAGGAAAACTGCTCGTTGTGTCCCTGTAGCGCAATGGATAACGCGTTGGACTTCTCATCCAAAGGATGAGGGGGAGAATCCCACCTGGGATGGCCTAATTTCTGAGAATGTAACTTCTTTTTACTGTGCTATTTCATCGGAATAATTAAATTCAATTAATGAATAAATAGTAGGAAATAGTCCAACAAAATAACAATAAACAATAGTACAACACATAATCTATAATAAACAATAGTTATGACCATGTATAGAAAGGAAACGGGAAAATCGTAAGGAAAATCTCTTTTCTATGTTACATTTAATATTGAGATTTTGTCATATGTATACACATATTTTTCTTTCTGGTAATTGTTTAATAAAAGTAACTAAAATAAAATTGTTCTTTGTTGACCTAAGTAGGAATTCACTTAAAGCTTAATAGATCTTGCATAAATAAAATTCAAAAGTGTTCCTTACCTTATGAAATAAAGCCCTGTTTAAAACATCACTTTCTCAGAAAAAGCTACAATGAAATATTTATATATCAATTATAATTTGAAGGTTTGTTTATTGTTTATTTGTTATTTAAGGTTACTACGCTCAGAACCATGATTTTGAAAAAAAACGCGTTCATAAATGAATTTATATATAAACTATTTTGTGAGATATTTAGTACCAATTGAAAAAAAATTATACACGTAAAATTGTTTCTTAAGAATATTATTACAAAAGAAAATTTTAATGCAATAGTTTCTTAGAAAAAAATGACATATTTACAACACGTTTTCCTTTTATATATAAAAAAATCTTCTAAAATAATATTTTGCTTATATACGGCTAAGACTCCTACACAAAGTTTTCACTACGAATTTTGAAATATTTACATTATTTTAAGAGTTACGGTCAAATGAATTAATAATCTGGGTGTTTTTCTTAAAACTTCTTTACTCTGATATATTAAAATAAGAATAAATTTACTTCTAAATTATATATTTCAAAAATTATTTTTCAGACAGACTCTGTACAGAGGAATCAGTTACATGTTAGCAAAATATTATTGCTAAAGAAGAACTTTCCAAAAAATGAGAATTGTTTTGAAAATATATATATGTCCATTTTTCTCTTCATTTTTTACCAAACAGTTCAATTTAAATATTTTTTTGTTACATCACTATTTTTAAAACAATTTTATTTGTATGTTTTAATTAAAGCGAGACAAAATATCAATAAAATTATTCAATTGTACAATCCTGCAAAATCATGGTTCTCAACGTAATCATTCACCTAAATCGAAAAATGATGAATTAATTTTAAGATAAACAATCATTAAAAGAGAAAATCCTTTGGGGGTTAACAAAATTGAAATGTGATAAGAGACAACAAGAGAGGATTTTTTTAAAAACCTTTCTTAAACATCACAAAGTTACATATTAATTGAAAATAATGTATTACAAATATTTACAGCTAAATTACCATAAACCGATGATTTTCATATATTTACATTTCTCCTTCATAGGCTTTATTTCCAAAATTGAAATACTATTCTTCACTTAACACTGAATTAATGTTAAATCAAAAAGACTCTAAGTTTAAGATTTTAAATATTTGACAATCTGAACTATGAATATTTAAAAGGGAATTTTTCCAAAATTAGAAATCTATATCATGACACTTTTCGAAAGAAAGAAAGTTTAGTCTTGACAGCGAATCGTGAGTGATCGAAGCTAACCAAAGAATGAGAGGAAACACTTGAGTAGCGTATGCTCTGTATTTGCTAAACTTGTTCTAATAAATTCATTAAAATTTCATAAGTACGTTTTTTTACTCCTGACATGTTAGTACAAGAAGTAACAAATATTTACGAGGCATTGCTAAATTACCTGATAAATCTATTTCCATACTCAGCGAAATATTTTAATAGCCCACTAGAATAATTAAAAATATGGAAGATGAGGACAATCTTAACAAGTGATAAAAGTACTCAGTTATTTTATCTGTAATGAGTGTGTGCGTAATATATGTGATATCTGTGTATATATGTATGAAATATGTGTGCTATATGTGTGTATAACAATTATCTAAATATATTTAATTATACCAACTAATAGCTGTGTATTTCAATCACTTCAATTTTTTCCTTGAAGCTTGTGTTTCAAAGAGAATGCTGATAGCCACGTTTTCACAAATATTTACGATTACTTTCGACTAACAGTAAACCCTTTTCTAAGAAGGTACTAGATTACATAGTGTCATCTAGAAGAATGTGGGAAATAATATTGAGGATGCAAATAAAGCTACATGTATGTGTAGGCAATGTATATTTATAAATATTTACTCAGGAAATTATTTATGTGATTATTTGGTATGTTTATTCAACAATAAAAAGATGATATTTCTTATGAATAGTTTTTTATTCCTTATACAGAAGAGCTGTAGCGTACATAAGAGAGATAAAACATGTATTAATGCTGTATTAAATTGTATATAACATACTAAAGAAAGTTAACTTGTATACATATTTACAAACTTATTTATAAGAATGATCTTTTGAAGAGCAATAAAAATACGATAGGTGATTTGTAATAAATTCATTATAACTCTTTTATCATAAAATATTTATACATGTAGTTTTATTTAGAGAAGTAGTAAATAAGATTAAAGATTTATAAAATTGAAATTTAATTAAAATATATAAACATATTTACTCGAGGAGATATTTATAAGTAATTGAATATAAATACAACAATTAAACTAAAAATTAATGACTTACTTAAATTTTATAGTTATCCTTTAAAGAAAATGTATTAGAAAATGTAATGTAGTGTAAGCGTCTGGGCAAGCAGTATTATAAATATTTCGTGTTGCATATACTATAGTAAAGGATGTGTCAAAATATAAATAAATTTGGTATAATATTTACAGAATATTTAATATTCCTTTATAGAAGCAGAATAAAACATAAAACTTCGTTTTACTAAGGTTGCTTTTTGAAAAAATATATGAATTTAGAATATTATCTAGAGGCAAATTGTAAGCAGCGTTAAAAGATATACAAAACTTTATATATTTGAGTAAAGGATTATTACTATGAAAGTACTTTTAACTTTTTGATATGTATGTGGTTGTGTAATAAAACAACCTATTTATTTAAATTGTTAAAAGAGATACTTTCATGGAAGTAGTAGGATATTATTAAATTTATCTGAAATAAAACATAATATAACATAAGATGCGAAAAACACTTTATTCGACCGTGTTGAATTCTATCATCACAACTGAATTTCAAGAACTCTTGAAAATATTTTCTGTAAAATAGCTCTAGGGGTACAAAACATTTAAAAATAAACTCATTATAACATTTGGAATTAAAACTTGAGATTTATGAGAGTGATGGAAAAATTCCCTCTAGGAAGCAAGCACTTCATATCACAAGTTTTGTAAAAGTTAAATAATTATTGTAACAGTAATATGACTTTTAAAGGTTTCCTACTATGTGGCGGTGATGGGACTAATCCCCATCTAAACTAGACCAGATACATGAGTCCATAAATCTGTACGTCTAAGAACAGCAGGGGGATGCAACAGCCTCCTCACAGAAAAAACCCAGACATTGCAGAATGTGCTGAGGAGAAAACTGACTGATGTTACATTTGGGGCAAATTGGGAAGCTTCTTTTGCCACCCTCAAAATTCATGCACCTCAGGTGACCAGTCGAAAATCGTGAGAATGCCGTTTGATATGATCTGGAACCCTTGAATGATATGGTGGATCCAGGGTGTCTTTGAAAGTACCATGGGTATACAGGAGGGACTGCCCAGGTTTTACAAAATAAATCTTTATCCCTGGAGTAGATCTCAGTCGATGTAAGGACCATGTGGTTTTCCGGATCCACAGGATTGCTTGTAGCCGCCTTCGCAAGGTCGTCCGCAACTTCGTTCCCGAGAAGGCCTACATGAGATGGGACCCACTGTAGATGAATAGGGTGCCGATCCGAAAGCTGTTGAAAAAGGTGAAGAATACTCCTGCCGGTGCTGTCGCCGATAGATGGCTAATTCGATAAATGTTGGATGGATGATCGGTTGTCTGTCAGTATCCAAATTTCAGAAACAGCTAGATCTCTTATGTTATTAATAAATGGTGTACACAGGTTTTATGACTATTATATATATTATAATATTTCTAATAGTCATTATATAATATATGTAATATATTATTATATAATACATTACATCATTACATACATTAGTGTGTTTGTGTGTGTGTTAATATTGTGGTGGATTCAAACTCGCAGGTAACTTAGGATCCGGATTAAGCACAGGAATGTTGATCAAACTATCACTTTTTTTTGTTAAATTAATAACTTCAGAAATTTCAGGAGTCATTTTGCTAATATTCACTTACGTTTCTTAATTTTCTCGAGTAAAGCTCCCTAGTCATTTCCTAATATCGTGGTATGACTAAGCAAATAGACATTATTATTCAATATAGTTCCACATAAATCGTAATGCTTGTATGCTTATATTATGGTTCCTTCACAAGAAATGTTATCATACCAAATAATGTTAGAAAGTAGCTCTGTAAATTAGTTGAGTGAAACACACGAGAAAACCCGTTACAATATGTACCGTAAAATCTATTATATAACACACACTTATACTTTCAAGCTGCAATTTTTATTTTCTAGGTGTATTTGTCATACACTATGCACCCCTTTATTAGGAAGAAACCTAAAATGTAAATAAGCCATGCTCTTACGTTTTGAGTCATTTATTTGAGGTTTAATTCCAAGTCTTAGAAAAAAATAGCGCACTTCTAGAACTATAGCCTTGTAAGTTCATTAGAAATGTCATTTCTTTGAAAGAAACAATGATTTGATTTATGTAGACATTTAATTTTTTTATGGTCATTTTTTTAATTTTTAATTTTTATTTTTAAAGCTCTTATTTTTATACCCGGCACATAACGTGGACCCGTAAATTTCGATCTTATGTTTTATGTTAAAAGTGCACGTTATACGCCAGAATTTGCGGCACTATAAATTTGTGTGTTTCACATCTTTTATTCTCTAACAAATTAATTGAAAATGGTATGGATCATGATATGATGAGGTCAA